CAGCTGCTTCAGTCCAACATCTACATGATCCAAAACACAGACTCTCAGACGCTTTCAGAGAAAGAAAATCAAGCTGTAGAATGGCCCAGCCAATCACCTGAGCCGAACCCAATAGAGAATACAGAATACAGCTCAGATCTGATAGACGAGACCCACAGAAGCATCAAGATTTACACACTCTGATGAAGACTGAGAGAAACTCACCCCAGAGCACTGCAGAAGGCTTCATTATTCTCCATATGAGAGGCGTCTTTAAGCTGCCGTCATTATTTATATAAAGGGTTGAACACATTTCAGTAGTTCAGCTCGTTCTCCTTCTGCCGTCACACTGTTATTTGTTATCACACACATTTTTTCAGTTTGTTCTTTTATTTTTATGTTTGTTTTATTTGGGTTTTATGATCAATGTTAACTTTAGAGCGTCGCATCATCAGATGTTAAAATCAGTCCGCTTGGTGCAGAGGATGATGCACGCGGAGCAGATACACACGTGCTAGAGAAGCCCATCTGCAGACCGGTGCTGTTGTGTTGGTGTTTCAGTTGCTGCACACTCTGGAATCCCCCCGTGCTGCATCACTGGTCAAACAATCATTACAAATGTGTGCTCAGAGTGTGTTTCCGGTATATCAAGTGATTAGTTTTGTAGAGCAGCGGGGCTTTCCGTTTAGTTTGTCCTCAGATTTAAGCTAATTAATATGGATGTTGAACATGGACCTTCAGCGTGCACTGGGCCGGTTTGCTGCAGAGTGTGATGCGGCTGGGATGAGAATCAGCACCTCCAAGTCCGAGGCCATGGAAAAGGTGGTTTGCCATGTCCAGGCTGGAGGAGAGTCCTTGCCCCAGGTGGAGGAGTTCAGGTATGTTGGGGTTTTGTTTGTGAGTGAGGGAAGGATGGAGTGTGAGACTGACAGGTGGATCAGTGCAGCGGCAGCAGTAATGTGGTCCATGTACACCTCCGTGCAGTTGGCACCCCATAAAAACAAATAATCCCCAAAACTATGCCATTCCTTTGTGCTACGTTTGTGCTGATTTGTGCCGCAAAAATGAACGTTTGAGCTGGTTTGGGGTCTGAGATATTAAGCATTATTTTTTGACCGTGTGACGTCACTCTCCACCCCCATGTTGTCTAAATTGCACAAAACGCTGTCATATGTTAGTGCTGGATTTGGGCTGGTTTGTGCCATAACAATAAACACTTTATCTACATTTATTGATTAGATATTGCCTAATCAAAACATTTCGGGAGCCGCAAGGTCTCTCAGCGCCCCTTTATTTTCTTTAAATTGCACAAAACGGTGTCATATGTTAGTGCTGGATTTGTGCTGGTTTATGCCATTAAAATAAACACTTTATCTGTGTGTATTGTTTGGATATTGCCTAATCAAAACACTTTGGGAGCCGCGACGTCACTCTATATCGCACAAAACAGGTGTCATTCAATTGTGCTGGTTGTGCTGTTAATAAACACTTTATCTGTTTTCCTTGTTTGGATATAACTGAAATATTTGGTTAGATTTGTGCTGGTTTGTGCCATGAAAATGAACATCAGATATTTATATTTGTGCACAAATATGTCACTTTCGTTTGCTCACAAATTATGCTCATTTGTGCTGCAAAAATATTTTTCTGTAAAAAAATAATATCAGATCATTAAGAGGTCTCTCACGGATTAATAAAGAGACCCGGATTAATAAAGGGACTAAGCCGACAAGAAAATGAATGAATGAATGAATGATCAACTCAACACACTCAATAATCTGCCAATGGGGGAAAATAATTGAGCTCATATTTGCTTTGAAAGAACTCTCCTGCTTCCCCCATCGGCAGATTAATTTGAGCTTGTTTTAAGGGAAAACTCACTTTGACTCATCTGAAAGCAGTATTTTGTGCTTGTCTTGAAAATGCTCCTTGATTTTAGAGTATCCTGACCAGAAACAAGACACAAAGTCTGAGTAGGAACAGCAGAGAAGATCCACAGCAGGCCTGAATCTGTTATCTCTCAGCCGTCTGACTTCATCATCACCCTGATACGAGTGTGAACTCTGATCAATGGTCCTGGTGTGTGTGTGTGTGTGTGTGTGTGTGTGTGTGTGTGTGTGTGTGAACTCTGATCATTGACTCACTGCAGAGTAAAGCTGTCGACTCGACTGACGCGCAGCTGATAGCTGATCCCGCTGCTGGCCAGCGTCGACACGTCCACATAGAAGAACTGCGTCTCCGACATGGCTTTAGTAGGCGGCTGACAGAGCGTCCGGCTCACCTGTGTGTACTGATACTTCCTCTGATACCTGCACACACACACACACACACACACACACACACGTTATATCAGTCGTCTGTGCGTAACAGATAATGCACAGCTCTTTTCACAGTGTTTCCGCTAATATCTGTTCTTCTGGAGAAAGTCTGATGTGTTTTATTTAGGCTAGAATAAAAGCAGTTATTAATGTTTAAACACATGTTCAGCTCAATATTATTCACCCCTTCAGCAATATTAGTGTTGGATTGTCTCCAGAACAAACCACTGTTATACAATGACTTGCCTAATTACCCTAACTTTACCCTGATTACCCTAGTGAAGCCTTTACATGTCACTGTAAGCTGAACACTAGTGTCTTGAAGAAGATCTAGTCTAATATGATGTGCTGTCATCATGGAGAAGAGGAACACATCAGTGATGAGTTATTACCAGATTGAAACTCTAACTCAATATCGGTCATGAATATTGAACGCAGTGCTCATGAACCGTGTGGCCGTGGCGTCAGAGTGAAACTCCTCTGAGTTTATTGCTGCATTTGCACAAAGAGAAGTTGATGAGGAACTGAAAGACTAAAGTTCACCCGTGAATGAGCACAAGATCGTATCTGAGTCCATAATAAACTTTGACATTAATTATCCTGTGGCCGGAGCAGCGAGCATTTAATATCACAAGACAAGCTGCTGTAACTCATACCAGTGCTGTCTATACTACAGCTTATAGCTGATCATCTAGAATTCAGCAAGCACTAGAGCAAACATTTAACATCATATGACTGATCCGCAACACAAGCCTTTTATTATTCTAAATAACACAAATGTAATGAAACTGTTATCAGAAATAACACAATGCACCTCAACTCTGTTATCGTCAACTGTTACTATAAATTCTGTTCCCGTCAACTCTGTTATTGTCATCAACTCTGATATCGTCAGCTCTGTTACTGTCAACTCTGTTATCGTCAACTCTGTTATCGTCAACTCTGTTATCGTCAACTCTGTTATCGTCAGCTCTGTAATCGTCAGCTCTGTTATCGTCAGCTCTGTTATCATCAGCTATGTTATCGTAAACTCTCGGTCAACTAACGTCAACTCTATTATTGTCGTGAACTCTGTTACTGTCGACTATGTTACTGTCAACTCTGTTATTGTCGACTCTGCTATCGGCGACCTTGTTATTGTCGACTCTGTTATCGCCGACTCTGTTATTGTTAACTCTCTGTTACCGTCAATTGTTATTTTCATCAACTCTGTTATTGCCAACAACTCTGTAACTGTCAACTCTGTATCGTCGACTCCATTACTGTCAGCTCTGTTATCGTAAACTCTGTTACCGTCAACTCTAATATTGCCAACAACTCTGTTACTGTCGACTCTGTAATGTCGACTCTGTTACTGTCAGCTGTTATCGTAAACTCTGTTACTTTCGTCAACTCTGTTATTGCCAACAAATCTGTTACTGTTGACTCTGTTATTGCCAACTCTATTATTGTCGTCAACTCTGTTAACGTCAGCTCTGTTACGGTCAACTAACATTAACTCTGTTACCATCGACTCTCTTACCTCGTCGACTCTGTTACCCGTCGACTCTGTTATTGTCGTTCACTGTTATTTTTGTCAACTCTGTTATTTTCATCAACTCCGTTATCATCAGCTCTGTTCCTGCCAACTCTGTTATTGTCGTCAACTCTGTTATTGTCGTCAGCTCTGTTATTGTCGTCAACTCTGTTATTGTCGTCAACTCTGATATCGTCAACTCTGATATCGTCAACTCTGATATCGTCAACTCTGATATCGTCAACTCTGATATCGTCAACTCTGATATCGTCAACTCTGATATCGTCAACTCTGATATCGTCAACTCTGTTATCGTCAGCTCTGTAATCGTCAGCTCTGTTATCATCAGCTATGTTATCGTAAACTCTGTTACGATCAACTAACGTCAACTCTGTTATTGTCGTCAACTCTGTTATTGTCGTCAACTCTGTTACTGTCGACTATGTTACTGTCAACTCTGTTATTGTTGACTCTGCTATCGGTGACCTTATTATTGTCGACTGTTATCGCCGAGTCTGTTATCGTTAACTCTGTTACAGTCAATTGTTACTTTCGTCAACTCTGTCACTGTCGACTCTGTATCGTCGACTCTGTTATCGTAAACTTTGTTACCGTCAACTCTGTTATTGACAACAAATCTGTTACTGTCGACTCTGTTATTGCCGACTCTATTATTGTCGTCAACTCTGTTAACGTCAGCTCTGTTACCCGTCAACTTTGTTATTGTCGTCGACTGTTATTTTTGTCAACTCTGTTATTTTCATCAACTCCGTTATCATCAGCTTTGTTACCGTCAGCTCTGTTATCGTCATCTGTTATTTTTGTCAACTCTGTTATCGTCAACTCTGTTATCGTCAACTCTGTTATCGTCAACTCTGTTAGCCTCTGTTTCCTAACAATGAGTTAAACATCAGTGAGTAACAGAATTAAATGTTCATTTCTGCATTTAAAATTAACTGATTTCACAAATAAGCGATCAGAAAACCATGTCCAGATTTAATAAACCGTACTCACAGTCCTCTAAGGATGAGAGGCACCTGGAAGGACAGAACGGCCTGTTTCTGCCGCACCACGAACAGAATGGGGCTCAGTGCGCTCTCAGACTGCAGCTCCACCGACACCCGCACACCCTCCGTCTGGAACACACATGCGCTGTAATGAGTATGATAACTAACACTGGTACTGTAGTGGAGCTCAAATCTCATGGTTCAGATCACACTACGGTTTTTGAGTCGCGGATCGGACCATTACCGTATGTTGTGTGTGTGTCTGAATTGAGAACCCGATCTTTTAATGATTAAATATGCAGCTTTACACAATCTCTCTGCAGTCGTTACACATTTAGGATTAATCTACAAGTTAAGATAAAGTTATAAATCCGCAGGTCAACTGTGATCCGCTCCACCCCTAATATTGCCTGAATCAGCCAATCAGAGCAGCCCTGGATGCCTGCCTTGTTTCTGGAGACGGTGTGGTTGTAGGAGTAGATGGTCTGTTTCTCGCTGGTCACCGTGTCGAAATACGTGACGTCAAATTGAGCTGGGACGACGTCATTGGTGGAGCTCACAGCCGGACAGCAGAACAAGAACACCAGCATCAGGACCAGCCGAAGCACGGAACCACAGCACCACCACAGCATCCTGGAGCCGGCATCAGCCTGAGAACTGAACCAAACACACACACCCTCATTACACGGCTGTCTGCAATACTCGATTCTGATTGGTCAGTCGATACATTCAAATATATGTCATTCCTAGTCGGCTGTGTTTTTGACTGGCGCCATCTAGTGTCTGAATAATGCGCAGGTTAGTGTATACTCCATCAGCTGTTTGTGTTTTTGACTGTTTAGCGCCATCTAGTGTCTGAATAATGCGCAGGTTAGTGTATACTCCATCAGCTGTTTGTGTTTTTGAATGTTTAGCGCCATCTAGTGTCTGAATAATGCGCAGGTTAGTGTATACTCCATCAGCTGTTTGTGTTTTTGACTGTTTAACGCCATCTAGTGTCTGAATAATGCCTAGGTTAGTGTATACTCCATCAGCTGTTTGTGTTTTTGACTGTTTAACGCCATCTAGTGTCTAAATAATGCGCAGGTTAGTGTATACTCCATCAGCTGTTTGTGTTTTTGACTGTTTAGCGCCATCTAGTGTCTGAATAATGTGCAGGTTAGTGTATACTCCATCAGCTGTTTGTGTTGTTGACTGTTTAGCGCCATTTAGTGTCTGAATAATGCGCAGGTTAGTGTATACTCCATCAGCTGTTTGTGTTTTTGACTGTTTAGCGCCATCTAGTGTCTGAATAATGCACAGGTTAGTGTATACTCCATCAGCTGTTTGTGTTGTTGACTGTTTAGCGCCATCTAGTGTCTGAATAATGCGCAGGTTAGTGTATACTCCATCAGCTGTTTGTGTTTTTGACTGTTTAGCGCCATCTAGTGTCTGAATAATGCGCAGGTTAGTGTATACTCCATCAGCTGTTTGTGTTGTTGACTGTTTAGCGCCATCTAGTGTCTGAATAATGCACAGGTTAGTGTAAACTCCATCAACTGCTTTTGTTTATAACAGTTTGTCGATATTTAGTGTCTCAATAATGCACAGGTTAGCGTATACTCCATCAGCTTTCATTTCTGTGGAACTCACACTATTTTTTAGTGGGGACAAATTTCCTGCATGTTTTTGGCAGTCAGGACACTGTTCAAATTCCCACCATCTGGATAATTTTACATTTCATATTATTATACTATTCACAAATAGTATACAGGTCATCAGTACACACTTTTCGTCTGGTGTGTAATCTGTCTAACATCATCATAACGCACACTGAGACTGATCAGCAGCTGCTGTATAAGACTATTATTTCGATTTATTCTGCAATGGATGTAGATTATCCTGATTGTTCAACGGCTACTTGCGACAAAACGAAACTATTAGACACAAAACATTGATCTAAGGTGTAATAGTTTACTATTTCTTTATTTAAACGAACAGCTGGCAGAAAGAAATTGTCTGACTACACTAATGTATTATAATTCAGTCGCATGATTATGAGTTATCGGCTAATAACACACTATGGAATGCTGTGATTGACCAATCAGAATCAAGTATTCCAGAGAGCCGTGTAATAATGAAAGTCAACATACAGCGTTTAACAGAGTCTCTCAAAGGAATCACCAATACAAAAAATCAAGTTTATCCAACTAGAGAGCTAGTTTAACCTCATCAGGAGGAAGTAAACAGCTGAATTAACACATAAAGAAGCATGAATGTAAACACAGCGCGTGTTTTCTGTTGTTAAATAAAGAAATAAACTGAATTAGAGATCAATCACAACACATATATGATGACAGAAACACACACGCACACACACATACCTCAGAGTGTGTGCAGTCCGGCTGTGTCGGTATAATCAGCACATTAATACGCATATATGTTAATGTACGGGCTGATCGCGTCGCGTTAAGCTCGTGATGACGTTTACAACCGCTTTAAATGCGACATTAACACATGATAACACAGCAGCGATGCTTACAATACAGAGACTGATGTAGAACCGATGTAAATACGATCTGTCCGCCAGCCTGCGTCGGTTCTGACCCGCTCGCCGTCGCGCTGTTGTGTTGATACTGCCCGACGATGTGACGTCATCACGCACGCGTCATGTGACGCACCGCGCACAGCACTTTATAAGCACACGAGCCGAACACTCGCGCTGATTTAAACAACACACAGCGATCATTAAACACACAACTAACATCCATCCCACAGACACCGAGAGCTGACGTCGGCGTGATTATTCTGTAGGCGGGGCTACACTGCCGAACAGCCAATGGCAGCGCAGGACGACACGTGACCGGGCAGTTTGTTTACGACTGGGCAGAAACTGACACTCAGTCATCTGTCACACACACACACACACACACACACACACAAACACTAGTATAATACATAAGCAATATAACGCTGTGATTATTACACGCGATCATCTGAGAGTGACTCTAGATTCTGCAAACCACAGTGCTGGACATATTGCACTGCAGTTAAAGCAAATACTGTCATTCATTCATTCTTCAGCTTAATCCCATTATTAATCAGGGGTCACCACAGCAGAATGAACCGCCAACTATTCCAGAATATGTTTTACACAGCAGATGCCCTTCTAGTCGCAACCCAGTACTGGGAAACACCCACACACACTCATTTACACACACACTCATACACTACAGCCAGTTTAGTTGATCAGTCCCCCTATAGCGCATGTGTTTGGACTGTGGGGGAAACCGGAGCACCCGGAGGAAACCCACACCAACACGGGGAGAACATGCAAACTCCACACAAATGCCTTGTTGATGAGGCCAGAGGTCAGAGGAGAATGGCCAGACTGGTTCCAGCTGATAGAAAGGCAACAGTAACTCAAATAAGCACTCGTTACAACCGAGCTCTGCAGAAGAGCATCTCTGAACACACAACACGTCCAACCTTGATGCGGATGGGCTACAGCAGCAGAAGAGCACACCGGGTGCCGCTCCTGTCAGCTAAGAACAGGAAACTGAGGCTACAATTCACACAGACTCACCAAAACTGGACAATAGAAGATTGGAGAAACGTTGCTGCTCTGATGAGTCTCCATTTCTGCTGACACATTCAGATGCTCGGCTCAGACAACATGAAAGCATGGATCATCCTGCCTTGTATCAGCGGTTCAGGCTGGTGGTGGTGGTGTAATGGTGTGGGGGAGATTTTCTTTGGGTCCATTAGTACCAATTGAGCATCAACGCCACAGCCTACCTGAGTATTGCTGCTGACCATGTCCATCCCTTTATGAGCACAGTGTCTCCATCTTCTGATGCTACTTCCAGCAGGATAACGCAGCATGTCATAAAGCTCAATCATCTCAGACTGGTTTCTTGAACATGACGATGAGTTCACTGTGCTCAAATGGCCTCCACAGTCACCAGAGCTCAATCCAATAGAGCAGCTTTGGGATGTGGTGGAACGGGAGATTGGCATCATGGATGTGCAGCCGACAAATCTGCAGCAACTGTGTGATGCTATCATGACAATATGGAGCAAAATCTCTGAGGAATATTTCCAGAACAAAAGGGGTCCAACCCGGTACTAGTGAGGTGTACCTAATAATGTGGCCGCTGTGTGTGCATATATATATATATATATATAAACAAATGATTTATAAGACAGTCATGCATATATTTAGATACACAAAAATAGAGATCCACAGTACACACAAATATTATGTAAATGCAGACCTTTTTTCTGGATGATAAATCATTTCCCAGCACTAATAGATATACATCTCCCTCTCTCTGTGTGTGTGTGTGTGTGTGTGTGTGTGTGTGTGTGTGGTTTCCTCCAGTGTTTGCAGCTGATGCAGGAAGTCACCATGGCCTTCTTTAAAGAGACGCTTTGCTCTGATTGGATGAACAGTACTGACGTGCAGAAGCCGGTTTGAGCTCTGCAGTGCACACACACACACACACACACACACACACACACACACACACACACACACACACACACACATGTGTGTGTGTGTGTGTGTGTGTGTGTGTGTGTGTGTGTGTGTGTGTGTGTGTGTGTGTGCGTGTGTGTGTGTGTGTGCGTGTCAGTGTTGTATGGTGACAGCAGTGTATTGTCTCCATTATGACTGTTGTTATGGTCCAGCTGTGCTGCTGCTGCTGTTTAATGCACAGTTCATTGATGAGATCAGAATAACACGATTACTATTCTGAATCCTGCATTATTGATCATGACACACACACACACACACACACACACACACACACACATGAGCAGAGTGTTTGACGGCTGTATCAGACTTGCGTCTCTCGTCTCGCAGTGTTCTCCTGGTGTTCAGCAGTATGTGGAGTGCGGGGCCATTTACACACACACACACACACACACACACACACACACACACACACACTGCTCTTCCTGTATAGTGTGCTGCTGTGTGTATATTATGCTTCAGTGTGATCATGATTGACAGATTGTGTCATTATTTATTTATCTATTTACTCTGTTATTGTACCTGGATGTGATCTCTTTGTCAGGAGTGTCCAGGAGGAGCAAACATTAATCATCATGGTGGACACGTCAGAATAACACAGCACTGTTAGATCATTACTACTCCACATACTTCAGACACGCTGTCATACACTTATTTATTTATTTATTTATTTATTGTAGGATTTTCTGTTTTCATGGCTTATTAAAAGCTCTGGACAGTGAACATCAGGGAGTTTATTATATTACCGCTACAAATCATGTAAACTCTGAGATTATTATTATTGGGTTTGTTATTTTACTCTCAATTGATTCATTTCTTCATTATGTTCAGGGGTGTGTTTCCCAAATCCATCATTAGCCAACTGAGGTCGCAGGCTCTGTCGTCACAGACACAGTTTTGTTGATTTGCCGTTTCCCAAATCCGTCATTCCAACAAACATTCGCAAACTCCGTCACTAATTTCCACGCTAGCGTCTGCACCTCTGGAGCTGTAGTTAGAAGCAGAGTTCCTGGCTGTGTTCTATTCCCACTCATCCCCCCTATGCCCTATTCATTTAGAACAGTCTAGCATGTACAGAGGGAATGATCATTTAAAGAAAGCGTTTGGCTCATCTCTCAGTGTAATTTGCTTTTAGAGTATTTCACAGTTCAGTTTTAGCGATCTTCATGTTCACTATTGTGTTCCCTTCACAGTGCACTTTGAACACATTGATGTCATTTTGAACACAGCCTCATGATGAGAGCTATAGCTATAGCTAATGCTTTACTGTATAGCGGGTCATGTATGAAGTATCTGTGCTGGATATGACACGGGCCGGCCGGCCAGAACACTTCTGCAGTGTTTACATGTGTCAGATTACTAAAGTAGACTTTTACAATGAATAAATAAACAATATCCTACTGATTGATCATCATAATACTAATCGTCATCGTCATCATTAATATTATTATTGAACTGGGTTATTTGTGAAGGAAACAGGCTCTATATGTGTTGTTTACATTTACACAACAGTTCTGCCTGGATCTCGAATCTGATTGGCTGATAGCCGTGATATATTGAAGTAATATCAGCATCCGTACAGCCTCTTTACCCTTTGTGTATCACTCCGCCCACACACAGCCAGCAACAAGCAGACGCTACAGTTTGAGTTTATTTGTAAGAATAGCGCCTATTTTAAAATATTTACAATTTCTGAGACCTCGTCGGCGGCCAAAGACAATTGCTGCTATCTATCCACAAGATGGCGCCAGAACCGCATAATAACCCTTGCTTAGTGTGTTCTCTTGAGCGCGCATAAGAAGCTGAAAAACTGAAGCGTCGCTGTTATAAGGTGGGCCGGATAGTCAATAAGATGCTGCGAATAAGAAGCTGGATTCAGCCTCGTCCCTCCTTATCGCAAACACATCAGCAGTCTGGTGAGAAATCTCTGTAGACGGATGACATTTCCTGTCACGTTCAGCCTTTTACTCTTAAAATGTGAATAAAATCATCTGTTTTGTCATCACCTTAAGAAGAAACACCTTTCACCAGAAGCGGCGCTTCACATTACGCTATAGAGAGTCACTCAAACACTACCTCTACAGTGGCGTTGGTGAATGAGTAACAGCTTCTGCTGTTCTGACGTCAGCTGCAGAAAGTAGTTCCTCATACAAGCCGGGTTTAGACTCTCCGTGTTTGATTTTCTTCTTTATGTACAAGATTGTGCAGTCGAACTGTTGTATAAATGCAATATCACACGAGTAGCAGTGCCATATGGCTGTATATCAGCACTGGTGAGGCGCTAATGTAGTCAGCCTGCGGCCTCATGCCAACGCACGCCTCCCACCAGTGCTGATATACAGCCATATGGCACTGCTACTCATGTGATATTTCAGCTAATATGGAGAGCGAGCGCATGCTTTCACTAAACTAATGTTGGACTTTATTAAATGTGTGTGCGTGTAGAACAATATCATCTGCACAAAGTAATGACGGGTTCTGCTCTGCAGCAGTGGTTCCTCCAGCCCGTGTAGAGCGTCATTATGAGCGTTGTATAAGGGTGTCACGATCCTCCAAATCCTCGATTCGATTACATTTTCGATTCTAAAGGCACGATTCGATTGGATTTTCGATTATGAATAATTAATTAATTAATGACCAATTAATTATTTGTAGCCTACCGTTTAAACTACCTGACCTGCATGGTCTTTGTTTTACCCATAAACAAATCATACAGTAAATGAATAAAGGCAAGATACACACATAATTACCACCTGTCAATCACTTTTCCTGCGGGACTCGTGAATAGGCAGTGATCTGTGTCGTTATAATGGCGTCGGTAAAAAAGACGCACAACCAACAGGAACCAGCCAACAGTATCTGAGGTGTTCGCTAAAATGACTAAGTACAAGTGAGTGAAAGATTGAAGCAGTCCTCTGACTCTGGACCTGCTGTCTCGAGCGCATGGCTGTGTGTGCGTCTGTGTCTGTGTGGTCACGTGATGTGCATTTTCAGAGGTAGAGAGGAAGGAGGGCTGCTCAGAAATGCTACACGCCACTGTGGATGTCAAATCGTTGTCGTTCTAAAATGTCATTTAAAAACAAAGACAGTGTAAACAGGGCCTGAGTGTGTACTTTTCGCCAGCGGATTTGCAACGGGGGTGGGTGGAGGATCACAATGCCGGT